AGGCAGCACCAGGGGGTTGGGGGGCAGTTGTAGGGCTGAGGAGGTGCCTCTGGGGCAATTGAAGGGGTTTGGGGGGGTATGTAGCACCAGGAGGCTGAGGGGACTGTTAGGGGCCTGAGGGGGGCAGTGCTGGGGTAATCCAGTGGGTCTGGGGGTGGAGTGGGCAGTGCTGCAGGAGTTGGGGGACCAAGGGAGCAGTTCTGGGGCGATGGAGGCAGTCTGGGTGGGATGGACAGTCAGCACGAGGGAAGGTGAGGGGCCAGTTCTGGGTAATTGAGCGGGTCTAGGGGGTTAGACAGTGCTGGAGGGCTGTGGGGGCAGTTGGGGGTAATTGAGGGGATTTGGGGCAGGTTAGGCAGCATCAGGGGGGGGTTTTTGGGTAAAAGGGGCAAAATGAGGCAGCCTGGAGCAGCAGGCAGCCCTGAGGGAGGCTGAGGGGGCAATTTAGTGTGTGGGGTGTGGAGGCAGCACTGGGGTGTTGAGGGACTGAAGAAGCAGTTGGGGGGATGGATGAGGTAGCCCTGGGGTAATTGAGGGAAGGGGGTTTAGGCACCTGAGGGGATCTGGAAGAGATTACACAGCACCAGAGTAGGCAGCACTGCAGGGGTTGGGGGGATGTGGGAGTAGTTGGGGGGCCTGAGGAGGCAGCCCTGGGGTAATTGAAGGGGTCTTGGCGGGGGGCAGCGAGAGCTCAGGAGGGTTTAGACAGGGGGGAAGCCCTGGGAGGGTCTGGGGGGAGATGCTGAGGAGAGAGTTGAGGGGAGCACTAGGAGGCTGAGGAGGCCATTTTAGGGCAGTTGACGGGGTCTGGGGGGCGGGAGGCAGTATGGGGGAGCCTGAAGAGGGTTTTGGGACAGGTGTGATGGGGCTCTGAACTTGTACGAGCTTGGAAGGCGTGACCTGGCTTGTGTTTCCTGGCTTCTTGCATTTTGCTGCATTTCTGGTTTAACTTCAAGCCTCCTCTGATCTGCAGAGAGTGCAAATGTCCCACTTTTGGGTCTCCCAACCCACAGGTCTGCAGGGTTGAACACTGTGGCCCAGGAGAGAGAAAATTACTTGGAGACTGTGGCCTTATCTCCCCCTTAGCTCAGAAAATCTGCAAGGAATGTGGGAGCCAGCTCTGCCTGGTGCTGACAGGCAGCTCCTTAGCTGCTTAATGAACTTCTGGGGCTTAAACCACCTTTGCGCAGTGCTATAGTCTGTGCTTTGCTCAGAGCTGTGCCAGGGGCAGATCCTATGGTGCAGCCCCTCGTGCTTTTCCAAGGTGAGAGGTTGCGGGGATTTTGTACTGGTTGTGAGCTGTCACACTGCCCTTTTGGCTGGGTCAGCAAAAGCAGGATTGAGAAAGAGCCTCCTGTTCAAGCTGAAGGCCTCTACCGTGCTGGGAGCGTTGCGTCAAGTGTAGTAGCCAGCTCTTGCAGGGGTGAGAGCAGCAGGAGGCTGGTGAGGAGTGGGTGACGTGCCCTGCGCAATGCCCCATCTGCTACAAGTACTCTTGGTGCTTCCGTCTGTGCTCGGTTGGTCCTCAGGGTCACGATTCCTGCCTGGCCTGTACTGCTGACACACAGGCATTGCCAGATGTCTGTGTGAGGCATTAGCTATATAAAGGGGGGAGATAGGAATAGCCCTGATCGCGTCCTATCTTGCTGTGCTTATCTTTTCAAGGTGGGTCTGTGTTTAACCTGCTGTCTTTGAGGGCTGTAGTACTGAGTGTCTTGCCTTGCTTTGCAGAGAAGTAACTTTGCTCAGAGCAGGTTGACGTGGCTCTGAGAAGACAAATGAGGATTTCTGCCTCCAAATCTGTTTGGTTTTCTGCTGCACGTTTCCTTCACATATCCTGCAGTGGATTAGCATGTCTCACATGACAACGACTGAGCAATGAATGTTGCAATTGAAAACTTCCCTTGTTGAATGTGTGACCTGGACCTAGGTCAAACGAAACAAACAGCTGATTTAACAGCACATGTTTGCTGTGTGATTCCAAGCTCCGGATCATGAGCAGAAATGCTGGAGGGAGTCCCATCTCAGCTTGTCCTGTCCTTTCCTTTCCACACAGGGCTTTTTTCTGGCTGGTGTCCCTGCTCCTGGCGTCTTTGATCTGGTTCATTTCAGTCCATCTCAGTGACCAGGAGGACTCCAAGCTTCAGTACAGCCTCCTCGTCTTCGGGGCCGCCGTCTCCGTCCTGCTGCAGGAGGTGTTCAGATTCGCCTACTTCAAGCTGCTGAAGTAAGGGCCTGTCCGAGAGCAGCCTGTGTGCGGTGGAGGCGCTCCCTATGTGGCTTTGGGGCTCTGTGGTGGATTCATCCAAATGCTCCTCGCTGCCCTCCTCCCTGGGGACCTCTCAGACAAGCAGGCTGTGGACCAGCTGCGGCCTTCTGGTAGCTATGGGTGGTGCCTGACTGCTGTTTTTCCCCCAAGGTGTTGCAGACTTCTTCTCAATACCAGCTTGTAATGTTGACCTTTCTGCTTCGTGACAGACACACGTCCAGTCTTGGGACTGGAAGGGCAGTAGGGCTGTTCCTTGCAGCCCTCACTTGCCACTAGGTGCTGTATGCCTGCTGTATGATGCAGGCGTAGTTGTTCCTCTGGCTGAAGGATGGGCAGGGGCCTTGATCTGCCAGGAGCTTTTAGCTGAGAGAAAAGAGCTCAGCATGGCTGGAAGGCACAGCAGTATCCAGGGAACCCTGCAAAATATCATCTTCGTTAGATCCTGGAGGAAAGCTCAAACTCCTTAATAAATAACCCCTTCCCTGACCTGTTGGACAAGCCTCCCTTTGCCAAGCCAAGCCCTGCACAGACCCTGTTCCAAACTAACGACCTTTCTCTCCTACGTCATACAGGAAAGCTGATGAAGGTTTGGCTATGATTAGCGAGGACGGCCAGTCCCCCATCTCCCTCAAGCAGATGGCCTATGGTAAGCACGAAACTAGGCAGCGTTAGGTTGGTTGCTGACCTTCTGCATGTCTTGTGCTGGTGCCCGGCAGCAGGATGTTCAAGCATCAGAGACTGGTGGCAGCACTGATGAACTAATCAAGCTGCCTTGTTTCTCTTTTCTGTCCTCTTGCCTTTTCCCTGGGGCCTCTGATAGTTTGGGGAGTGGGGAATCTCTGTAGATGCTGTTGATGGCTTATATATCCGTCTAATTGATTTCTCACCTGGATTCTTCCTGGAAATGTCTCTGCCATCCCTGCACCAGAACCTATTAGACTCAGCCCAGCTGTGTTCCTCATGTGCCAGGCAACTCCAAATGGTTGTGGGAGGGCAAGGAGAACAGGTGGGGAGACACTGGGGAATCCAGGCCCGCACCCGTTGACCAAGTGTGGTGCTCGCTGCAGTGTGACTGCGACTGGTGCTGTCAGTCTGGGATGTCTTGGTTGATATCCTTCTCCATCTGCAGTGTCGGGCCTGTCCTTCGGGATCATCAGTGGCGTGTTTTCAGTCATTAACATCCTGGCGGACTCCATTGGACCAGGCATTGTCGGGATCCACGGGGACTCACCGTACTACTTCATCACGTCAGGTGAGACCAGGGGCCTGTGTGCCTCCCAAAGGGGAGGCTGATGCAGTGGGGATGGATGGGAGGAGTGCTTGTGCAGAGTGCTGTGCTCCTCTACATGGGGAATGATTTTGGCGTAGCATCCACTGAGAGCTGATGCTCAGGGCTGGTTAGAGCATGAGCTTGGCCCTGGCACCTAGCTACAGACTGCTGTTGTAGGAACAAGTAGTGCAGCGACGCCACTTTGCTCTAACGAGGTCTGTCGCCCTCTTCCCCTAGCATTCCTCACCATGGCGGTCGTCTTCCTCCACACGTTCTGGGGAGTGATCTTCTTCGACGCCTGTGAGAAGCGCCGCTACTGGTGCCTGGGGCTGGTTGTTGCCAGTCACCTCATAACGTCGGGGCTGGTGAGTCTGATGAGCCAGGACAGGCTACCACCATGGGATCTGCGCTGAAAGCCATCATCAAAATAAACCAGACTTTTTTGTTGTTGGGCTCCCTTCTGGGTGCAGGAAGAGATTTACAGGGGAAATGGGCACTGCGTGTTTCAGACTCCGTAAATGTGTCTGTTTCAGAGATATGGGGCAAGTCATGTCCCTCTTCCACAGCTCCTGCCCAGAGCAGCCTATCCTGGTGTACTCAGGGGGAGTGGGATTTAAGTGGGGTTAGCAGAGGACTGGGGGTCAACTGAAGGATTAGCTGCTAAGCTCCTGGTGGGAAAGTGCTGGATAGAAATTTTAGATAAGCTTATTGGTGCTCTGCTCTGCTTGGAAGAGGCTGGTTCAAAAAGAGGGCCCTGGTTCTTTTTTCCTCTATGTTGCCATGCCTAGTGGTAGTTTGAGAAGGCTGGGGAGGTGCTGGGGGGGGCTTCTGGCAGATGGTGACATTTCTGATACGGCTCTTTGTCCCCCAGACATTCCTGAACCCCTGGTACGAGGCCAGCCTGGTCCCTATTTACATCATCACAGTCTGCATGGGTGTCTGGGCCTTCTTCACAGCTGGGGGCTCCTTCCGCAACATCCTCAAGTGCCTCTCCTGTAAGGGTTTGGCTGGAGCAGGGAGGGGTGCATGACATGGGGTGTCCCCGTTGGGTGGCCCTCTCTTCCCTGTGGGTGTTTGGGTGGGTTGGGCACAGCTGCTGGAGCAAAGGGAGAACCATGGGTTTTCTGTGCATGCCGTCACTTGCTCCAAAGCCACTGTGATCCCAACAGTCCTGGGATGGGGTGAGGATGGGTCTGGCCCATAGTTGTCTCCTTTTTGTTGAATGGTGACTGCATCTCCTGGCCCTTGGGGGCTTCTCTAAGCCCACAAGCTGGTTTCCCATCCCAAAGTAGTCCTGCTGCTCCTTCCCTCCCTTTCTGCCCGTGACTCTCTCTTCCCCCAGGTAAGCAGGAGGAAGACAACAGAGTGATGATGTACTCAGCACTGCAGGTGCCTTTTGAGGACTGAGCGTCTCTGCAGCAGACCACAGTCCTGCCTGCCCGGGCTGCCCGCAGTGGTTCGATACCCAAGTGCCCTGTTCTTGGCAGCTGGAACATCTCACAACACTGCCTTGACCTGCACCAGGCTGAGGGCACAGGGCTCCAGGTGCCTCCAGCCTTCTCTCGAACGACCTCCCCAACTAGATAGGTGCTGGGGCAGCCTCTGCACTGGAAATTTGGGGAAATCTGGGCCCTCCAGTGTTCCCAGTCAACTCTGCTGGGAGAGGCTGTACCTGGCCTCTCTCCACTTAATGAACCTCTCCTTTGTCCTGGGACTGTGGCACAAACCCTGCTCTGTGCCCTGCCCCTTCTGTGCACCCTGCTCCAGAGAGGCTTTTTTGGGGTCATTTCTGTCCGACCGGTGCTGCTCTCTAGCCTCGTGGAGCCTCCTGTCCTTAGTGCTCCCGTTAGCTTTGTTAGTAACTCTTTTTGGTTATATATATATTTTTTTTTTTTTTACAGGGTATCCCTGCAGGTGGGTGGTGGGAACAGGTCTGAATGCCTGGTGGGGAGGGCCCCAAGCTCAGCCTCGTGCAGACCCCGGCGTGTCCGTTCCTCAGAGTGGGTTTGCTGCGGTCCGGGGTTGTTCCTGGCTGGGACCCCGGCCCTGTGCCCTCTGCTCCCTTCCTGCACCCTGGCAGCCCACCCTGCGCAGGAGCAGGACCCAGAGGAGGGAGATACTAAAGCAGCCCAGCCTTCGTCCCCAGATGTCCCCCGAGGTCCTGGCGTGGGAGCCAAGGGTGCAGGGTCCTGGGAGCAGACTGGCCTCCCCCTCGCTTTGCTCGGCGAGAGAGGCTCTAGGATGCGAATGACATCCTCCCAGGCGAAGGCTCAGCCCTCAGCATGGCTTGGGCCTGGGCTGGGCGTTGTGTGTTTGTCATTTCCCGCGTGGCCTGTTCGGAAATGGTTTGAATCACTGCTGCTTTCAGGGACTGGCACGGCTGTCTGGCAGGGCCCCTGGCAGGGAGGTGCCGGAGACGGGTGGGCCAGTCGCTGCCTCTCTCACGAGCTTTCTGATCTCGATCTTTGGGTCTTTTTAAAGTCTGTGGGAACACGCGTTACCGTGCTGTGGAATGGAGGGTGGGGGGGTTAAATTATTTTTTTGATTCAGAGTAAAATCGTTTTAATAGACTAATTGGTACTATGGTAATGAGGAGACTTCTAGGATGGGGGAGGTGAGATGGCTTGGGAGGAGGGACAGAAGGCCTCTCCGGGGCATCCCCGTGGGGCCAGGGCATGGCGCAGGATGAGGATGTGGGTCCGTCTCCATGACCTGCTGAGGGGAGGCGTCCGGCGGGTCCCAGCTCCCTTGAGCTGTACCTGCCCCAAACTGGGCTGCGACCTGCCAAATTCATCTCGTGCAGGCTCCCAGCCAGCCGAGGGCACCGGTGC